ATTGGTGGTAGCTGGGCACCATCTAGTTCTTCTGGTCTCAGGCTGATGGAGTCTCTGGTTTATGTGGCCCTTTCTGTCTCTTGGGCTAATATTTTCGTTGTGTCTTTGGTGTTCTTCATTCTCCTTTGCTCCAGGTGGATTGGGACCAATTGATGCATCTTAGATGGCCGCTCACTAGCTTTTAAGACCGCAGACGCCACTCACCAAAGTGAGATGCAGAACATTTCTTAATAAACTTTGTTATGTCAATTGTGATAATCATTATTTTTTGAGCCGATCTTTTATTTACCTACAACGCGACCTCGGGTTAGTTTCGGTTTAAGGTTTGAACAGTATCTCAGGGCAAGAGTCTCGGGAAGTCCTCCAATCTCAACCAGTCTAGTAGGTCCTTTTTCTTTCTTTTTTTTAGGAATTTGAGGTTCTGTTCCACATTTTTCTCCCATTCTGCCAGAATCTGTCTGTTGTGGCCCTGATCAGAATGGCTGGTGGTAGTAGCTGGGCATCATCTAGTTATTCTGGTCTCAGGGTAGATAAGGCTGTGTTTCATTGTCATGTAGGCTAGTTTTTTCTTTGAATCTTTGGTTTCCTTCTTTCTTTTCTGCTCTGGATGAGTAGAGACCAATAGTTGTATCTTAGATGGTCGCTTGTCTTAGTCATCTAGTGCTGCTGTAACACAAATACCACAAGTTGATGGCTTTAACAAAGAGAAATTTATTTCTTCACAGTAAAGTAGGCTAAAAGCCCACATTCAGGGTGTCAGCTCCAGGGGAAGTTTTTCTCTCTCTGTCGGCCTTCTCATCAATGTTCCCCCGGACTAGGAGCTTCTTCGCACAGGGACCCCAGGTCCAAAGGACGCGCTCTGCTCCTGGCACTGCTTTCTTGGTGGTATGAGGTCCCCACTCTCTGCTCGCTTCTCTTTCCTTTAATCTCTTATAAGATAAAAGGTGATGCAGGCCACACCTCAGGGAAACTCCCTTTACATTGGATCAGGGACGTGACCTTAGTAAGGGTGTTCAATCCCACCCTTATCCTCTTTAACAGAATCTAATTTTACCTCATTAACCACAGGCAGAGTTTAGGATTTACAACATATAGGATAATCACAAATTAGAGGACAACCACATGACACTGGGAATCATGACCCAGCCAAAATTGATGCACGTATTTTTTAGGGACACAATTCAATCCATGACCCCGCTTGCAAGCTTTTAAGACCCCAGACACTACTCACTAAACAAGGATGTAGAACATAACTTTATGAGCTGTATTATGTGAATTGTCCAAGATGTCTCACAAGACTATGGTCCTAATCCTTCAAACCCAGAAATCCAGTCCTGTGAGGTATTTGGTTATGTCTAAGGAGTATCCGTAACTGTGTCCCTTATGTGCTTTATTATACATGTAAGTATTTGTGCATAGTCACATAGATACATATACATATGCATACACCTATATATACACGCATATATACATACCTACCTATATACCGTATTTTTACGCAAGCAATGCACGCCTTCTGTGTTCATTTGCTGGCTATGCCCTCCCTTGCGAGATATTTTCATAAGTATACTATGCTCATTTTTTTTTACAGCAACGTGAAAGAGGACTGGCATGACAGCGCTTGTGATGGTGCCTCATGGGGGGAAAGCACAGCTGGCAAACAAATGCAAAAGGCGTGCATTATTTGCATAAAAATACGAGTTGTGTGTGTGGATGTATATACATATATATGTGTGTATATATGTATGTGTGTGTGTGTGTATATATATATATATGTATATATATATACCCACACACACAAATATATCTCTGTGCTTATTTTTTGGTTCCACTATTTTTCTTTATGGTGCTGATTTAAATGAGCTGGTATAAGTTAGTTTACCAGTCTTTGGGAGTTGGTTCTCGCAACTCATACATAGTCAGGTCTCGTGGTTGTTTAGGGTTCATTTTCTTATTTAAATTTATTTACTTTTGTAAATGTGGAAAATGCACATTTTTCTGAAGGTTATGTTCTGCCTTTCTTATATACTTGTATACTTGGGAATTTTTGAATGATTACATTATACTCATTCAACATTTTTGAATATCTGTAAACCTAGCAGCCTTTCCCTAGGCATGAGGAGATGATGTTAATGTCACAGGTGTCCTTTTGCAGCTAATTTAATTGACTTAAACGTTAAATTTCTTATATATGTAATCTAAGCAAGGAGGGTTATGCTTAAAAATTGGACAATGAAAATATTATCTTTTAAAATTGATTTTACCCATCTCTACTCAGGTTTCTGTTATTTTGGATACTGATACTAAGACAGTTTAACCAAATAATGGGTTTTGAGTATGTTAAAGTTGAGTGACATATGATTTATTGTCTAAATCATAACTCTTTCAAGAGTACAAGAGGAGACTGTTAGTAATTATGCCAGCATAATGGGCATAACTGGGAGGTTATAGGAGACTTTTTCTCATAAGTTAAAGTCTTTTTGATAACTTGAAATGGAGGGGAATCAGTTGGAGCAGAGACTTTAGTAAATATGGAAAATGCAGATTTTTCTGAATTATACCGTTGTATGGTTTAGACTGAGATGACATCTTTTGTTTTGTTCTTAAATTTGTGTATAGATGGCATGTTTGATAAATGACATCTGGCTTAAATTTCTTTGCTATTTGTTCATTCAGAAAGGGAAAATTATAGTTTCAGAAAAATGTTTTCCCTTTCATTTTAAGTATGATTTGGAGAATATGTTAGTGTTTTTCCTCTTGATTATAAAGTACTATTCAGTGCTGTTTCTCTTAATGTTCTGCTTTACTATTTCAAGAGACTTGGTCTTAGCACACTTGCATTCTAAGGATCTGAAATAAAATTTTAGGACTCAGAACAAAGTTTGTTGTTTTTCTTATTCTCATGCTGCAAGTCATTTTCATTTCTGATCTTGAGTATCTGTATTGCATAGTAGTTTCATTTTGTACACTAAATAAATATTTATTTGTGAAATAATTTTATTCTGAATTCAAGGATCAAGATTACAGGACTGGCCCAAGTGAGGAGAAACCAAGCAGGCTTATTCGATTAAGTGGGGTGTCTGAAAACACCACAAAGGAAGAGGTGAGATACTTTTTTTTTAATCAATTAAATTTTTTAATTTTTATATTGAAAAATTCTATAATTCACAGGATGATACAGAGAAATGTACAGGGAGAACTTGTGCATTCTTCACCCAGCGTCCTCCAGCGTTAACATCTTGCCTAACAGTAGTATATCTAAACCAGGAAACTGACATTGGTACAATCCATAGAGCTTCTTCAGTTTCCACCAGTTATATAGTCATTGAGGTGAGGTTTATTTAAAGAAAAAAAATACGACAAATGATTGCTATTCTTAGATCTGGTAATCATCCTTTAGGGCATAATCCAAGCAGGGAAGGTTGAAATCATACATGAAGATGCAGCTTATTTACATTAGTAAAAACTGGGAGCTGCCTAACTGCCCAGTGTTCAAGAAATGGCTAACTAAATTATGGCTGAACTTATAGAAGAATTGGTTAGAATATTATAACAATAACAGCTAATAGATTTTGTATGCTTACTCTGTGCCAGCATTGTGTGATACTTATGATTATTAGTTTATTTAATTATTACAGTATCCTTCCTATGAGTAAGTATTCTTCATTAATTCACTCAAAATACTAACACTGTTGTGTGCCAAGCACTGCTCAAGGCACCGAGTGATATAAAAGTCAGCATGATAAATTTGCTACTTCCATGGATAATAAAAAAGTAAGCAAGTAAATAAATAACGTAATTTCAGGCAGTGATGAATGCTTTCAAACTAAAGTAAGAGTTTAGAGCAGCACTGGTACAGGGGCTGTTTTAGATTGGGTGGTTAGGAAAGCCATTGTTGAGGAAGTGAAATGTGAACCCAAGCCTGAATGCTGTGAGAGAACATTTGAAGATGAGGAAGAGAACTGACCAGGCCAAGGGAGTTCAAGTACCATGGCTCTGAACTGGAATAAACTGAAACCAGGCACTGAAAGGTTAAGTAACCTGCCTAAGGTTACACAGCAAGTGAGCAGGAGAGCTTGGGTTTGGAATGCAGGCAGTTTGATTTCATAACTTCTTGAAGGTTATGCTATTCAGCCTTTTTCATATACATGGGAAATTTTGAGTAATTACACTCATTCAACATTTTTGAATGCCTGTAGTGTGCTTGGCTTGATTTTTGCCTTTATGAAGTAATGGCTTTAAATTGTGTAGAATGAAAACCAGTAGGGAAAATATAATCTTCAGGGTTTGACTGCAATTTATATCATTAGTATAAACACTTTATTCTTGCAGATTCTTAACGCCTTTCGGACTCCCGATGGCATTCCTATAAAGGACTTGCAGTTGAAGGAGTATACCACAGGTGAGGTTCTTTATATGCATGTGGCCTTGGGGTTAGGAAGGGTCTTTGTCAGATCTCTATAGCATGCGCTACTCAAAATTCTTAAGAAACCACAATTAAGATTTCCAGAAGCCTCCAGATGCCTTCAAGTAACAGCCAGCTTTAGTCTTAGCTGTGGTTCTTTGGGGATGTTTATCCACACATGTGCAATGTGGATGCATGTTCCAGTTCTCAGTGCCTAATAGATACAAAGTGAGTGTTGCAGCATTTGTCCCTGAGTATATTTTATGTAATTAAATCATTAAATTTACTCTTTATATTCTTCATCATGGTGGAATATTTAACTCTGAGCACAATAGGATTTAATAAACTTGCTATGTATTTTACATTTCATTGTTTTAGAGGGAAGTTGACACCTTCCCAAAGAAAATGTACAAATTAGTGGTTTCTTGAATTTTCAGTCTTGTTCTGAGAATGGAGTCCTGCTGTGGCTATTTTGTTGAAATCCATGAACAAATCCAGAAGAGCTTTCTCTTTGACCTCTATTCTGTGGTCTGAAATCACAGATCACACTTTTCAGAGTATTCTTCTAGTATTTCAGGGTACCAGGTTCAGTTAGCTCCTTCAAATCTTATTATAGAAAAGGTAGTGAAAAGTGAAATGCCAAGCATTCAAGGTTTTGGCTGGGTCTTTTAGGGCTCCATAATATGAAATAGTTTAAAAATAAATACATTCTTTAGGTGATCTATTTTGTAGAATTTTAAGTTGAAGAAAGAACATTAATTTTTTTCATAGAACTTGAAGTTTTAGTAACTCAGTTAAAGAAGTCTTCAGCTCAGAGCGTATTAGTATATGCTTTTAAACAGTTTACCATGGAATAACATTTTTGCTTTACCAATATAGCTTCTCCTTCAGATTGGTTCTGCAGAGGGAAATTATCTGCAAAATAAGTTTTTATGCTTGAAAGAATCTGGTCTTCATGTTAAGCACAGACTTTTTTTTTTTTTTTTGCAATTTGAGAAGAAACTCAAAAGCAGTATTTCTCAGACAGCTAATTATTTCTATGTTTTAAAAGCATCAACCCTGAATTTATGGAAACATGACTAAGAGTAGTTATATTGTTCTTGTATACCTCACTTCTGTGGGTTACTTTCATGCTGGTGGTGCTCCCCGCCCCCATTGGAAGTTAGAAGTACAGTAATGTACTTTTTTTTTTTTTGCATGTGTCTCATACACTTTCTTGATTTACTTTGGAAACTGAAAGTACAATTTACAGGCAGGAGTTGCATTTTAACTCACGGGGTAATAGCCTCATCTTTGAGCTTGTTTCATGAACTGTACTTTCATTGAGTATTGGTGTATTTCGAAAAGAAGAGAAGTCTTGATGTTTAAATAGCAGCAGTCTAAACTCTTTGGCTTTTTAGTATTCATTGGATTGACTTTCAGTTTGTATTGTCAGATTTGTTAACAGAGTAAAAAATGTATTTATGTGTAGGGTACAGATGGAAACCCTGGTGGCGTAGTGGTTAAGAGCTACGGCTGCTAACCAGACGGTCGGCAGTTCGAATCCACCAGGCGCTCCTTGGAAACTATGGGGCAGTTCTATTCTGTCCTGTAGGGTCGCTATGAGTCGGAGTTGACTTGATGGCAACGGGCTTTTTTAGGGTCCAAAGAAGAAGTTCTTAAATTTGCGGCTGTGGTGGCTATTTGAATGATAATTGGCAGACCAAAGATGAAATCTTCAGGACAGTGGTAAAAGAAAAATACACCTTTCAAGACATGCAATCTTGGCATTTTATTATATGAAATAAAGGGTATTTTAGGTATTTAAATATCTATATTGTTATTCTTTTTTTTAATGAAAGAATTGAATTACCAGCCCCATGTTACCTATATTACATCTCTATGTGGCAAGTAGAATGAACTTTTGAAAATATCAGTTAGATCATGTTATTCCTATGCCTAAAATACTCTTAACAGCCATTGATCTCACTTAGAAGAAATTCCAAATTCCTCGTTCTCACTTACAAAGCCCTGCATGATCTGGCCCTTGCCTGTTTGATCTCATCCCCTACCGCTCTCCACCTTACCTATTATGTTCTTGCCACACTGAGCCAGTCTCTAAACCCTGACCAAGACAAACATCTTTCTGTCTCAGGGCCTTTGCGCTGGCTCTTCCCTCTGATCTTTACTTGTCTTACGAGGTTTTGTTCTTGGTTTCATTTTCACCTCTAGAGGCCTTGCCTCACCATCCAGTCTAAAATCACCTCTCACTCTCCATCTTATCCTATTTTCCATTGTAGGATTTATCACTTATATTTTTCTCAGTGGTTTTGTATGCCTTATTCCTCCCATTAGAGAGTTAGTACCATGATAGCAGGAAACTTGTCTATCTTGTTCCCTGCTGTTTCCCAATGCTTGACACTCTGCCTGGCACTTGGTCGCTTCCCAGTATGCATGGAATGAATAAATGAGTATATGTCTGTGTTGTGTGTGGAGAGCAGCTGTGATCTCTTCACAGGTGAGAAGCATTAAATGGTATTTTAGGTTTTACAGCAGTGTAGTTTTTAAATATCTACTGAAGAATATGCCTTGTAACAACCAGGTGTACTGAGAACTTTAGCATTTAATTTTTAAAGGATTGTGTGTGAATTTCAGTGGAAAAGGTGAAACTATTATAAATGAAAAGTGCCAATTATTTTTTTAGGCTGGATGATAACCTGCAGAGACCGTGCAGGGTGGGCATTGCCTGTGAGACTGGGGATGTTGGGGCAGAGTTCATGCTTTCAGTTGATGTAACGGGGAGCTGATCTATAACAGAAAAGATTAATGTGTGTTTACTAACTCTAATAATGTACTAATTTAACTTTTGCCCCCACAACTTTGGTCTAAAACCTGTGGGTCAGATGAGTTTATGAAATTGTCTGATTTAGAAAATTAATACACATTTAGAAAGATACATCATACATAATTTAATTCTCCCAGTGGGAATGTATACTCAGACAGAGTAATACTTCTGCAGCAAAATGTATGAACAGTCTCAATGAGAGGACTAAATAAAGACTATAAAGAGACTCTGTAGTGTAGGTCAGAATTTCCTTCCAAATGACTTCACTGCAAATTTACCAAAAAACCCTAGATATTTAAGGGCTTTTGGATTTTGAAATTGCAGTTAAGGGATTGTGAACCTGCGTATGATCTGTGTATCTGAGTTCTTCATTTTCCATTTGCAAATATTTTAGAACACCATTAGTTGTAAATTACCTTGAATTATATGATTATATTCCTGGAAAAAGGAGTAAAACGTCTTTGGTGAATGGACAAACTCTGGTATATCCATACAATGGAAAACTACTCAAAAATAAAAATGAAGAAACTACTCATACACTTAACAGCATGGATGAATCTCAAAGGCATTGTGCTGAATGAAAAAAAACAGACTCAAAAGGCTGTGTACTGCCATAAAAAGGAATAAAGTACTGGTATATGCTACAATATAGGTGAACCTTGCAAACATTATGCTGGGTGAAAGATGTCAGACCACATATTGTGTGATTCCATTTATATGAAATATCCACAATAGGCACATCCATAGAGACAGAAAGCAGATTACTGGTTGCCAGGGCCTAGGTGAAGGGGGAATAGGGAGTAACTGCTTAACTGGTACAGGGTTTCCTTTTAGGGTGATGAAATGTTCTGGAACTAGATAGTGGTGATGGTTACACAACATTGTAAACATGCTAAATGTCAATGAATTGTACACTTTAAAGTGGTGAATTTTATGTTCTGTGTATTTTACCACAATTAGAAAAAAAAAAGGCTACATACTATATGACTCCATTTATATGACATTCTAGAAAACGCAAAATTATAGAGATAGAAAACAGTGGCTGCCAGGGTGTTGAGGGAGGCACTGGGCTATAAAGTGGCAGCATGAGGGAATTTTGGGGGGTTATGGAACTGTTCTATATCTTGATTGTGGTGGTGGTATATCCGTGTTAAATTCACTAAAGTTGTTAACTACTATTTGTATAAGAGAGCATCCTTATTCTTAGGAAGTACACACTGAAGTTTTTAGGAGTAAAGGACCATGAAATATGCCGCTTTCTCTCATATGACTTAGAAAAATAGATTTGATAGATAAAAGGGAGTAAGAGTAATGATAAAGCAAATGGGGCAAAATGTTATTAATAGGTGAATCTGGGTAAAGGGTATGTGACTGTGTTCCTTGTACTATTGTTCTTCTAACTTTTTTGTAATTTTGAAATTATTTCCAATAAAAAGTTGAACAGCTGACATAAAGCTGAGGTATTTTGTTTACTTAAACAATCAGGCAGAAAGCTTGCAAGTTGAAGACCACAATGAACAGCTTCTGTGATCAAGTGCCCTGTTCTAGAGCAGTGGTGCTCAAAGTGGTCCTGGACCAGCAGCATCTGCACCACCTGGGAATTTGTTAGAAATACAAACTCCCCTGCCCGCCACCCCCCCAATCAAAAACTCTGGGGGTGGGTTCCAGCAGTCTGTGCTTTAACAAGTCCTCCAGGTGATTCTGATGTGCCCTGAAATGAGAGGAACACTGCAGTAGATTGTTCGGATTCTTTAGTCTTTAACTTTTTTGCACAGCTTGAAAGTGACTTAATAAGCAAGTAGTCCTTCTGTAAGTAGAAAAGGCTAATGCTTGTGTGCCTTGGGAGCCCATGCCAAGCACATGCCTTGCCTGTCTGATATGTCATTTCCCCTGCTGTACATGGCTGCGGCAGGAGCTGGAATGGTGTTATTTCATGTTCTTAGTTGTTCTTTCTGCTTGTATAGTATACTTTCTCCAGAGAGCTTGGAATCGTTATGTATCTTCTCATTCTCACAGTGTTTCTGTGAGATGTGAATGCAGACAGAATTGCTCTTGGTTTTTAGGTAGACTTTCAGAATATGGAGTACATAAGCTTGCTGTGATTCCCCCCTCCCCCCCCCCCAAAAGGGATTTATACCATTTAGTCAATTTAAATAAAAATGATACTTCCAGC